GGTGGGTAACAGAAGAAATATCCTCTAAGTTTTAGGCTTGGTACCATAATAAAGTAGCCTAAGTGCTGGTCTTAGCTGACATAAAGTGACCAAATTATTTCGTCTCTTACACTTTTGGGGCCATTCATTGCAAACATTTGATGGTTTGTTCCACTTGCAAAAGATAAAAAATTGCAAATTATGGAGAAGCCATCATCATTATAGATACTGATAAGCTCAAAAACCCCTACGTCAGTAGACCATTCACCATACCTGATTGTCGACAACATGAATATTTCAATAGACTCGTGATTATTTCAGCCCTGATAGTGGATCCTGTTGGCTGCTGAGTTCTGAGAAGAAGGGTCTAGATTAGATACTGACGATCACCAGGCATTAATCTACTATGTTGTTTATATAGACTGACGAGTTGATGTCCGACCATACAACAGGAACAAGTTTGTATACCAGGTACACAGTCCTGTTTCCAACATCCAGCTCCATCTCCATCTCGAATTCCGGCATCCAGTTACATCTCCAATTCCATCTCCATATCCGTCTCCGATCCCATGTCCATCCGATATCTTGTCCCAGTGTTGTCGAGATTGGACCTAGGGGGTTGTGTTGACAACTGACGACTGTGAGTACTTGGCAGCGAGCAATAGGAACGTAGAACCCTTCTTCCTTTTTGTTAGTCTCATATGCATGTCACGGATCAGTTGAGCAGCAGCGGCGTCAATAAAAACTCAAAAGAAAAGAAATGCACAAGACTTCCTCTCTCCGCCGCTGTAACTCAGTAGGATAACACTTGTCATCGTTGGTGTGAACATTCTGCAAGCCTTCGTCGGTTTTGCGCGGAGCACTGAGAAAGGGCTTATCTCAGGAGAGACATTGCAGAGGGCTTTGTATATGATGAGGCAAGGGTTGGGATGATGATGATGATGATTGAGATGAAGACGTCGGGTAATGATATTAGTGGTATGGGGCTGATGGGGAGACGGGGAGGAGGAGGAGGATGGTGAAGAAGAAGAAAGCTGAAGAAGAACAGAGGAGGACAAGACTGGGGTTTTATGTTCGAACGTAGTAGACATGGCACCTTCCTTGTCATTTTCTGGTGCAAGCGCATCCTGCCCCTCCAAACATTTGAGCTGACGGGATAGGAAGTAAAGATGCCGATACTTGTAACTCCAGGGGGGTAGGCCTCTGGTTCTTTCCTCCTCAACCTCCTCCCGACCGGTTGTGATACCATGGTTAGCCCTTCTGATGCATCTTATCTGATAGCTATGGAAGGTATTCACTTTGAGTATCTCAGAGCGTTCTTAACCCTATGCCAAATGAAGCCCATGACAATCGATGGAGGAAAGAGCCATGCATTCATAGGAGCGTCATCCCGGACCCGGGCGCAGTGTCACCTGCCTACTTGTATTTTCCGGTCAGCCAGTTGAAAGTTATAGTTGTCGCTCTTTCCTTTTGCTTGAACATCAATAATTTACACAAGGAAACACACAGTGAATGTCGGCGAGAGCAGTGATGACCAGGGAAGTGGCAAGAAGCTGGTTGTCTAAACTTAGGTATCAAAGCATATAGCTCGATAGATTGAGGTTCTGAACTGGCATGAAAAGAAGCATATTGCTCTCAACATCGATCATCTAAGGCAAATAAATACTTGCCCGAAGAATCTCATTAAAGATAAAGAATTAAATGGTGCCACTGGCATATAATATACAAGAAGTCCTGTCGCCCTTACGCTATATCATGAATTAAAAGCGCCGCCCATGTAACATTGATTACTAGGTAGCCAACGAATATATAAATGTGTTGTTTCGTCACAGTTTACCACCACTTGAAAAGGGTGGTCCACTTCTTCCAAGGGCCACGCTTGGATGGAATCTTGTCCTCAGGGATAGAGATCTCGTAACCGTCATCAATATCCTTGGAAACAGACTTGGAAGTGTAAGAGTTATCGTCACTCTGGAGCCACTTGTTGAATCGGCCCTTGTCCTTGTGGCGGTAAGACTCGACGGGTTGGGGAAGAACCTTTGTGCATTCGGTGAGACTGTTGATGTTGTTGACACCCAAGAGACTGAGACGGACGTAGGCGCGGGCATAATCCTAATAAGATTAGCAAGATGCATATGATATTCGAAAGTCGTTGACACTTACCACGTTCCAGGCGGCTTGACCAGTGCTACCGCTGGCAAAAGTCTCAAAGGCAGGCTTGGTGAGAGGGTGTTTGGCGAGGACCTCATCACTGGGGAACTTGTAGACGCGCTTGGGGGCGTTCTTGTCGAGAGTCTGCTGGTAGAAGAGGATATCCCAGACACCAGGGGTGCTGTCCTGAGGATCACCGTCACGGTCGATGTTGGTGTGGTGTTGCTGAGAGGTTGTGTGAGCGCCGACGAGGGCGACGAGATCATCAGGGCCAATTGTCTTGTCCTTGAACAGGTTGATGAGAGTGAGAGCATCGGAGTCAACTCGGGGCAGAAGGCCTCCGATATTGGCCTTGGTACTATCCTTGCGGCCGACGAAAGAGCGAACTCGGGGTCCGAGAGGGCAAGTGACAGCAGCAATGTTGGAGCCCATCTGGATAAGATCGGCCATAGTGACCTGAGTGAAGCCATACTTGTTGTGGTACTTGTCGTAAATAGTCTGGTAGTACTCTCCAATCTGCTCGAGACCCTTATTTTCGCCACGAGTAATCTCGTTCGCAAGGATGATAGAGCCATCAGCGCCACCTCCTTGGGAAGAAGTCTTCAGGGACCAGGCACCAGCATCGTGGAAGCCAATGCGGACAGCATAACGAGCCCATCGGGTGCAACGGCCAGCTTCACCTCTGAAGCGGGCTTCAAGCTCGTTGGAGATGTACTGCCAGACACAGCAGGTATCGCGCTTGCATCGCTGAGAGTTCATAGAAGGGCAGCCAAGGTAGCGCTCACGGCTGGTAGGGTTGCCGTTTCCTTTGAGGATCTTCTTGATATCACGGCCGACTGAAGTGAGAGACTTGTCGCTGACGCTGCGGAGGTCTCCAATAAGGGAGTGAGCATCGAAGTTGTCTCCAGACCAGCCACTTTGGCCGCCGCTCTGGCTTCCACCATTGCTCCAGCTGTTACCGCCGTTGCTTTGGTCGGGCCAAGAACTGGAGCCTCCTCCATTGCTCTGACTTCCGCTGTTGCTCCAGCTATCACCTCCGCTGCCTTGGCTTCCTCCATTGTTCCAGTCGTTGTTTCCACTGCTCTGAGCGCCTCCGCTGCCCCAATTGCTTCCTCCACTGTTAGAGAAAGGCCACTTGTTACTGCTCCAGCCACTACTCCAACTGCGAGCGGCAATTCGTTCGATCTCTTTCATGGTTTCTCCCATGCTAGAGTGAGCGGCGACTTCAGAGATGGGGGCCGCAGCCAAAGTGGCAGCGACGAGGATATTGAACTTCATGGTCTCGGTATGTGAAGGGTTCGAGGAATTATGGGCAACTTGTAAGCAAATAAAGAGATTTTTGAAAGAGAGACTGTAGTGCCTGTTGGCTTGTAGATAGAACGAGTGTAGATATTATTAGAACGAATGTATAAAAGAATGACGAGAGGTGAAGACGCCTGGAGAAGACAGAATCAGCTCTTGGCAGATTCGAGATGAGAGAGAGGAACCATTGCATATATATATATCGAAGACTCAACCAACTAGTCCAAAGCCTGGTCGAGTTGTCCCGGTCAGACGCCGAGAACTCTCGGCACGTCGATTCCAGACCCCCAGTCTTTGCATCTAGCCTTGTCATTAGTTTTGCAACTATTAGACCTCGATCAAGAAACATCACAAGAAAAGACGCTTGAGATGAACCCCGCACTCATCAGCGGGAACGCTTTGTGTCTATAACCCCTGGATATGGGGACAGCAGTATCAGTGCGTAGTAATAGCTCAACTGCCACTCGATGTTGTAATTTCTTCCCTAAAAGTCAAAGAATTGCTTTTGCTCGTTTCCAGTTAGAGGAAAGGTCGTCCCAGGTTGAGCAAAGACGTTTTTGCAGCAGGGATGTGGATCCTCGGTTACGTGGGGAGCGTTGAGGCGTTGGCGTATGACGCCTCCTCCTATTAGGAAACGAACTAGAGTGTTATCTCGGCTGAAGCGGTTGATCATTCTTGGTGTGAATGTTCTAGCTGATGTCCAGATCTCTTGGTAACGGGTTTAAAACGGACAGCTACAAGGATTTTGATGGGTGACATTTCGCGGATCAGAGACATTGATGATGCTGTCAACAGAGCAGGTCGAGACTGCAGTGAACAGACTGACACCGAGCGAGCCTTGTGATAGTGATAACCCGGCCTTCTCACAATGTCCTGCTCTTTGACCATATCACATTATTCCTGGTCGTTGAAGACCATCCTGTCTCGTATCTGTAGCTCCCAGGGGGTCATGCAGCTGCGTGTAAGATGATACGCCCGCGAGTATCCGACTCCACATGGTGATCAACAGCTGAGTACAGGCTCTGCCTCCTTTTGCTGGCTCAGGAATATCTTCTCAACCATGAGCTCAAGAAACTTTCAGCTGAAATTACCCTCTCCCCATTGGGCAACTTTATCTTCAGAGCAGGTCGAGCGCCGAACGCCAAGTCTCGAATTCCGGTGGATCGAGGATCACGGAAATGATCCTTGCTCAGGTGGGTACGGATACAACAGTCACAGAACCGACAGAGCGGGAGCCAAGGATACGGATTGAGCGGGAGAAGCAAGGCAATGCCCAGTAGATGGCCTCTACCTTTGTTTGGCGTTTCTAACATTTCATTCTTTACTTCTGAGGAAAGGGGAATACATTGTCAGGCTAATCAATGTTACGTTCGTGATAGGGGTTTCATGTCGTCTCTTTTAGCTCAGCCACTCATCACATGATTGATCAGTCACGCAGGTCTTCTCTTCTTATGCTTAATTAACGACAGTGTTTATCTGGTTGTTCTAGATTTACTCGCTATAATTGCAGCTTACAGAAGCCAGACTCTTCACTTCCCACAACGAACAAACCCGGTCTACCACACTGAAAGGATCGAGATATCCAATCAAGTCATTGCCAAAAGTAATAGTTGGCGAAGCATCTCGGAAATTTACCCCTGGCACTAAAACGCAGTTGTGGCAACCCCTACCAAAACGAGCGCTGCCTTTGTTGGAATAGCTCATATCAGCATTGGTCTACCGTACTATAGGTACATAAACGGTGACTGGAGGTAACTTGACTGCTTACATAGGGCCGTGCAATGGGAGCTGAAGATTTATACGCGAAGTGGTAACCACGGATTCTGAAACAAATAGATTCATTTTCTCCTACCGTCGGGTACATGACCGCAGGGTGTCAAAAGAATTAACCGTCATAAGCACAAGAAACAAAATAGTTGAGTCTTATAGCTAAAATAGGATAGATCTTAGACTACTTTATTTTGGCAGCCTGATCCTTGGAGTACATTTCTTCTGTTACCCGTCTAGCCATCATCTCATAACGCCCAAGCCCTGTCCAATTCAGCGCGTCAACAACAAACAGCATCCTATGAAAACTAACTCGCCGGTTTCATCTCTCATCCTCTCTGATCTTCGTGAACCACTTGCGCACGAGTTATTTGAGTGAACGCAAATGCAGCTCTGTCATAGACAGCACGCTTTTCGATAGTAACCTGATCTGTGTTGCAACGCAGCAGGTACCCGTAGCTGATAAGGATCACCAACTCTTTCAGTGACGGATGCTTTGCTCTAATTAGACGGCAAACCTTTCTGAAACGAGCAAGGTGACCAGAGAGGACCAAGACAGGAATGTCTCGATCATCAACAAAAGGGCATCGCAATGAATGAACATAGCGCTCCAGGTTGGGCAGCTTCTCCTGCAGTGCTTGGCCCAATGTCTTGCACTGCTTGACCTGCCAAAAGTCAGTAAAGCTCGATCTGTACATTTGAGGGACAGGACGTCACTTACACATCCTTGACAGGGATCGAGACGTGAGTATCGGTAAGGTTCTGCACAAAGACCTTCGAGAAAGCCCAGGGACTTCAATCGTGGGAAAGCTCTAGCAATGTCGTTTAGTTCCAGCGTCGGATTGTTGAAGTGGTTCCTCTCGTGAATGTAGAGTTCTTCAAGGTGCTCAAATTGTCCCCGAAAGCAGATCATACTGGGCAGACACAAGGTCTTCAAATTAGTCCCAGCATACTCCACGAAAGCCTCGCAGTTTTTCAATGATCCCAGCTTAAGACGTTGGAGGTTGAGGCTAGGCATAACGCGCAATTCGGATAACAACGCTTCAAGATGGTTTCGGCACAGACTGGTGATGTCCAAAGAAAGTGATTCGAGAGAGACCATCGTCTGGATGCTCTCTGTAAAGGTCATTGACATTTGCTCTCTTCCGTCTTTCCCAGCATGAAAGGGAAAGGGACCGTGACAGCCAATCGGGCCTTGGTCGCCAAAGGAAATAGCTGCTTCCCTAAGATGCGAGGACTATTAGCATGCATACGATACCTAGGTATATAGCATCCATTTTCACTTACCTGATGAATCTGAATGTCCCGTGATGTTTGTCTGAACTCAAAAATGTCTGGAACCACCGTAGGATTTTGCGAGTGTTGCCCAAAACTTTGACTCGATGCCACACCATCCTGGCCAGACTTTCTCGAAGTGGATGACATGTTGACGACAGAGCTATGATATCTTTTTTGCTGAGCAGAGCGGCGATACCTTGAACCAGCTCGTTGGGAAGCTTCAAGAGCTTGGGGGATGGAGAGTGATGTCCGTCCATACTGTGCTGATCAGTTGGATACAATGGTTGAGAGAAGAATGTGATATTGGAAAAGGAGGAAATTGCGGGAAGGCCTAGAGGTAAGTAGGTTCAGGCAGCAGAAGGTTTCTTGTTAAATCGCAGCTGGCACGGCACTGCCAACGCTGTGAATCTATACCTAGGTACCTACATTCACGGACAGGTAAGCCTCAGGGTATTGGCCCCAAGAGCATAAGAGACGAAATAATTTGGTCACTTTATGCCAGCTAAGACCAGCACTTAGACTACTTTATTATGGTGGCCTAAGCCTTGACTACCTCTTATGAAGGTAGGCAAACAAAATCCATTGCGAGGCATCCGCAAACATTTTGTTTGTTAATTCCAACGCGCCTTCACCTCACTTCTGGAGGTCTTTGGGTGAACCCTGACGATCACGATGATAGGAAAGATGCAAAAGCTTGTTTAACTGAATGGTGGTGGTAATGTCGACGTTGGCGCAAGCTTCGAGAAAGAAAACGATAGCAGACAATAATTTCGAGCATGTCACTCATGGCAGAAAGGATGAAGAGAATGGCAGTAGTTAGTTAATACCTACCTCCTCAACCTTACCTTAGTAGTATCTACTTAGTAGATAGGTGTAAACATGTCGCAATACAGTTAAGCTTTTCTTATTAACACAAATAGGGTCACAAGCAAGCATACAGACATCACAGTTGGAGACAACAGGTTATAAATCAAGACAAATATCATTGCTATGGATCCAGTCGAGCAGTTCGCCCTGCTACTCCGGATATACATGAAACGCCAATGATCCTAGACGCCTGCTTATCATTCCCTCCCAATCCAAGTTTTCCGGTGCCCTCAACCCCCTTATATGCACATCTCATTACCCTAGGGCCAACACGCCAACAGAACAGACCTCACTAATCTAGACGAAGAGGACTGTGTACAATGATCCTCAAAAACAGAGGGGAATAAAGAAGAGACTGAAGAGAGAGAAAAAGAACAAATAAACGGATACAAAATTCCTGGCGTCGGGCCCGACGAGATGTAACTTGAACAGTGGGAAGTGAATATGAAGAGAAGAAAATGAAAAGGCTTATTGACAAACATGTCCAAGGGATTGAAAAATGTGAGAAGACACCTGGCTGAGCATTGTCGTAGAGGCATTCAATCGTGCATCGACGTTGTTACCAGAAAAGGCTTTTGGGTATGTGACGCTCTGTTGTTGGCTCACGCAAGGTCGTCGCGAGATGCCCGCATCATCATGAAAAGCTTGCGTGAATCAATCGAAATTCAGAATGGCGCGATCGTTTTTTTTTTGACATTATTCGTAGATAAAACACTGAGCAAAAGGCAATGAAGGATCTTAGTAGGCATCCTCGTCAGTCCACTCGCTGCCAGAGATGATGCGGTTTCCGTCCTGGTCAATCATAACAGGTCCATTGTAAGACCCTTGCGGAGGTATTCCGCGTATGCGTTTAGATTGACTGCTTGCCGGACGGGTTTGCTCTGGGGAGAATCTCTTGGTTCGAGCAGCTTTTAGCCTAGCATAGTAGGCATCAGAGACATCGACTTCAGGTTCGCTGGTGTCATCGTAGGTTTCCCAATTCTCAGACCCTGAGATATTGGTGGAGGCCATAGATTCACCAGAGATCTGTCGGGGAGGGGGAGGAGCCATTGGACGGTAACCTTGTGAGCGGATAGTAGCATAGGGATCGTGGAAGCTTTCCTCGCTAAAGCTTGGGTGGCTGCTGTAGTGAGAGGTGTTGCTCGGGTAGCTGTACTGAGAATTATCAGAGTTGGATCGAGCCGTTCGTGGACGGTCGTCGTAAACGTCCTCTGGCTCGACTTGGCGAACAATGCTAGTAGCAAGGCCGACTGATTTGTAGGGGTTCATGGGAGCTTCAAACTCAGCCTGAGCCATCAAATCGCGCATCTTGGGTGGAGGCGCTCTCATCATGGACTGGCCTGGTCGGTAGACATCAGCACAGGACTCGGCCCGAGGGCGTTCGGGAGAGTTGTTTCCGTGCTTCATGTTGGACAAAGGAACTCGCGCTGGGATTCGCGACGGGCTTCTTGCGGGGCTGAGAGGAATACTGGATGTGGAGGCATGTGTCTGGTGTCCGGGGCGCATGGGAGGCGCGGCAGTGGTAGGAGTTCTGGTCATGGATCGAGGAGGGACAGACTTGGTATTGATTCGGCTGGGTACTGCCTTGGGTGGTTTGGCAGTTGAGGGCGGAGGGCCAGCAGGGGTTTTGGAGCGCGGTGGTAGTCCGCTCGTCTTGGAATTATCAGCAGCCTCGATCTCGTCCAGGAACCTCTCGCCGAAAACAAGAAACGATCGTCCATACTCGTCTTCCCACTTGGAAAGTATCTTGCGCAGCTCAGCGGTGATCTTGGGCAGTTCCTTGGCAATGCGCTTTCGCATCTTCTCCTCGCGGAGCAGCTTGCCAGGGTCTCGCTTCTCACCCTTCTGGCCACGACCCATGAGTCTCGAGGCATCTTGACTGGATGCAGCGAGATCATCGCGCTCCTTCACAAGAGTCTTGTATCTGTCGATCAAAGCAAGAGTGGGGGCTCGCTGTTCCTTGAGAGTTTCAAGGCGGGCAACCTCACGTTCATGAGCCTCCAGAAGAGCATCACTGTAGACATCGGAAAAGGCAGGTGTGAACTCAAGCATCTCATCCTCGCTGAAGTAGAGCGCATCCCAGAGTTCTTGAAGCTTGATGCGAGTGTCCTCGACGAAAAGGTGAAGGTTTTGGCGCTTGAGTTCGTTTAGACGAGCAAGCTCATCCTCAAACTCGTTGATCTGTCGAACACCACAACCCCGGTTCGCGTTAAGGAATGGCTTGGTTTCACTCTCATCAACACCGAGCTTGATCCAGAGAGCTTCAACAGCAGCCCTGAGCTGGTTGAGCTTCTTCTCTCGGTTCTTCTTCTCGTCGGAGAGTCTGTCACGCTTGGCACGGAGACGGTTGATGTCTTCCTCATGTAGACCAAGCTGCTCGGGAGCATCGCGGTAGTATTTTACAATGGCACCATCTTGTTGCGCTTGGGGAATGCCAAGCTCTGCCCAGAGTCCAATCGTCTGGTCGGCAAGGGCTTGAACTGTAGCAATACGACGAGAATACTCCTCATAAACTCGTGTGAACTCGCTGTCAAGCTTGTCGACATAGGTGGCAGAAAGGTCGAAGTTGGCAGGGATGGATTGATTTGGGCCTGTAGGGGGTAATGGGATCTGGACAAAGGTGGGTTCGAGATGCGAAGAGTAGGACTCGAGTGCCACTACGAGTTCTGTATTATGGTCAGCATATGGAACAATGGTTTGTCATGATAGACGCACTCTTGACTTGTTCGAATCGCTCCTTGTGGATGCGACTGATTTGTGTGTGCTTCTCCCTTAGTTGTTGAAGGCATCGCATTAAAGGATATGTGATGGTGAGCTCGTCGTCCTCTTGAGAGCGGCGGCGATTTGTGTCGTCGAGCGAGGCTTCCATTTGATGGATGATGGTAATGATCTTCTTTGCTTCTTCAATCATTTCCTTCTTTTCTGAGTTGACGAGTCGCACTTGGCTGTTGAGGGCCTCGGATAGTGCTGAGAAGAGCTGCGCAAGTCAGTAACCCGTCGACACTTGTGTCGCAAACTGATGTAAACATACCTCAGACTCTCGAGCTTCACGCTCATGATCAGGAACACCGATCTCATCGAAGAGACCGTGGAGCTGGCCAATACTGTTGTTGACCTGCTGCGCAAGGTAGCTAGTGTCGACCATCTTGTCCAGGCCGTGAGCGCCGTCGCTGAAGGAGGGGAAGACAGTCGGGTAACAATGCTATGTACAAGCAATTGAAGGAGCAAGGACGCTAGCTTGGAGACGAATGCGCAAAAACGTATGTAGGGTGGGTGTACTTGGAAAATAGTGTGGGCGTGAATCGTGGACTCGGTAAAATGCAATCGGGGCCTTTAGTACGGAGTACAGTAAGGTTGTTTACTTTCTCTCCCAGGCGGTCATCGAGCAGTGAAGTCGTCGAGGCGTAAATAGCATCATATGCGCAATGCGAAGCTGTAATTGGTAAATGCCATGCAACGCAAAAGCAAACTCGCGATGGGATCTTTTGGAGTTGAAGAAAAAAAAAAGAACGAAAGACCTGACGTGGGAGCGGCTGAGACAAGATGAGAATGAACGTAAATGATGGGCCTCAATTATGGAAGTATTCTTTCACGAAAGAGCATCGGGTGCAGTAAACGATGGGAAAGAGAGTTGCTACAGCAACTTCCCCCCAGGGTTTAATTGGCGGGCGTATTTGGAGTGGCCCAGTGTTTCAGCACGGTTACCCCGCTGTAGGTCGCTTTTGGCAGGGATATCCCAGGGCTGTGAGGCCACTGAAAGCTTGGTCGAAGCGCTATTGATCAGCTGCTGTAACTACGATCCAGTTATTAAAGCTGATGATTGGCCTGTAGTGGGCATCCTCTTTCAACATCCCAGGATCGCCTCCCTTCCTAGGACAGCATTTGGCCCGTCCACAATGCGTGAACTGGGAAAAAGAATGGAAATCTTGTGGTGTAGTTCGTTTCCGCCTTTTCACTTTTCGCCCTGTTATCGAATGATTAGATTCTTACGCGTAAGTGAATATCCATTTCTAGGTATATCTCGGTTAAGTATAGTACCTACTATATATATCAAAATAGCCCAGACAATCCTCCGTGATCGATCAACAAATTCCTTGTTTTTCTACCCCGTCGTATCTCCATCGCAAATCTAACCTGATTATCCATAGTTTGCAGGTTAAAGTACAAGCATGAACCCGCATCTGTGGTCCGAAGGCGCAAGCAAGCAAGTGTGTTTGGCGTCTTCGCTCCAACTCCTTGCATACAATAGGCAGATTTTAGTCACTTAGACTGGGTTTGGATCGTCAGATTCGTTGACTTGCATGTGCGCAAGGCTATGATAAGCGAATCACAACTCCGCAAACGGCATCAAAACAAACCAGTCATCTCTGTATCACAAGAAGGGAGGAAGAGGCTAACTTAAAAAGATGTTGAGCCGCAAGCAGAAATTTGTTTTCCTCCCCACTTAGACGGATAGAAAAAAGTATGTGCACATAGATACCCGGTATCCATCACTCTTAGAAGCGGCATTATTGTAAACAATTGTTATGTGAATCCAGTTTTCATTGGCGAAAAACCCAGGCCAGCGGCTGAGCTGCAGAAGCTGTAACTTGCTTTGTTCCCACGCTTATCTCGATCTCTATAGTCTCTCTCACCAGACTCACCACTTCACAGGGATGTAAACAAGGCAACAAAACAACGGTCCCCTGGGATTGCCATAGCTACCCCTCGTCTCGTCTCATCCGTCCTTCATCGCCGAGGTTCTATCCTTGAACACTACCTACCGCTACCGATTTCCGAGAACCAAGTAACTGTATCCGTAGTCAAGGCCCAAGCTCCAAGACCTTCTCTATCAATCTAGTTATTCTGGGCATCGTCATATTTCTCCTCTTCTTGTTTGCACATGCTAAATTAGATCATGCTCCCCGCGTGGTTCATCGGTGATCAATGCTACTTGTCGCAATTTAACTCTCCGTGCCGTTGAGCTATCCATAATTAAAGACGTCTCGAATATCAATTTCTTTCTATAATTACGTCCGCCTTCACCATCCGATCAAATCTCGCCTATGTTGTATCACAGACTTTGTCGATACTCAAGCACTTCTGATACAGACGCCGGATCCTGCAATGCAGCAGCTATTCGTAATCGCGTCAGAGCAACAGTCATGCCCCTGTTGAAGGCTGCAGCGCTCCCAATGAAATGTCGTGTTTTCTATAGACGCCGACAACATGAAAATCGTCATCATGCTCATTGGGTACATATCAAAGCCAAAGATGCATATGCATACAGTCTCGTATAGGTTGCGACCCCAGCCTTCCTTATCCAAAGTCCAGCCTCCTCAAAGTTTGAAATGATAATCTCTCCTAAAACGAGATAATGCCGAAGCCTCGATAAACCACTAGCACTCGAGCGGGCTTGTCGAGATCAACGTTGCTAGCTGCTAAGAGTACCGTGCTTCGAGTTTCCTCGGAGTGGCCGTTTTCACTACCGTGCGCCCTACTAGTTCGAAATTGTTGCAAGGGGAGGCCCATGGGAATGACATTCGCGCTGTTGACGAGCCATTGATCTCCGTGATAGCGGTCTGTCCTTGTGGTTGTGATCATTGCAACCCGGTAGTCCGAATTGCCTTATGAAACCTCAGTCTTATCCATCAAGGCTCAAAAAGTCCCATATTAAGTACTTCGGAGAGATTTCCCGAGACAGCGAGTTTCATAAATGTCTGAAAACTTTGTTTTGGGTATCTTCCGATCACATTGCACTCCAGGAAGGCATGCCGTTACCTTCGATGCCAGCTTTTAGGCCATTGTCGCTCATCTCCATGATACCATACATATCCCAGGATAGATAGTTTTGGAGATCATTTAGATCAACAGCTTGGTGGTCCATATGGGAAGTTGTAGCTCCAGGGGGTGTCCGTTGAGACACAGGTTGCTCATGCTGTAGTTTGGATCGTGCAGGTGTCTCCTCATGTTGACTACTTGACGGGTGTCCAGAGGCAGATCCGGCTCCTATTTTGGTTGAAGTCGGACTTGTACTTCCAACCTTGCTCCAAGCATCCTGATCAATCGGCTTGATATCGGCGCTCTCACCCTGAGCAAGGCGTGCTAGACCAAGCGCTCCCAGGGCCTCATCAGGACTACCAATGATTGGACTTCCGGAAAGAATTGGCGATCTATTTAGACTATCAGCAACTGAGTCACCTTGAAAATCAATTGAAGCATACCTCTCCTCATCACCTTGCTTAGGACGATCGCTCATATGCTCGTCCTGCGCGAAGGTCTTGCGAATCTTAGCTAACCATCGCTCCGTCGTAGTCGCCTTTATCATTGTCAGTAAGAACTGCCACAATTTTTCCCTACAGTGATCCACGTACTAGGGAGTCGGCCAGCGGGAATAGGGCAGCCATTGTCCGTAGAATTTTGCTATTACTCTCCACAGCATTGATAGCGTCCACAACAATAGTCTCAGCATCTGGCCTACTAAGATCAAGCAGTCTTGCGATGTAGTACAGCATCACTCGGCTGCTATCATATGCGAAGCATGGTAGCAAGCTATCAGCCAAGTATCTTGCACCATGTTGCACAGCCTCGGCCAAGATAGTAGCAATTTGTTTTGCGTGGTAAAAGCAGTCAACTTGCAAAGACTGCAGGAACTCTTCTTGGTTGGGTGGGAAGTAGAAGGGCTTGATTAGCTTGAAAAGGTCGGGCATGGAAATTCTGTAAAGATCAAGAAGGTTGTGGTGATAAGTGCAGTGAAGTAGGACAAGTGAGCCGAGCTGGTCAGATTCAAGGCGGGCGTAGATGGTATCGGTAGAGTATGAGATGAACTCAGGGAGATGTCGGCCCCATGCTCGCAGGTCAGCATCCAGGGCGGCAAAGTCGGATTCAGGAAGCCATGGAGGTGGACTCGTATTCAAATGCTTGACATATCTGTCTTCCCGTTAGTTATGTGGGTGTTTTTAGAAGGGGGCTTACGTTTGCTACTGACCTGACTACTCGCTTCCAAAGAGTGACAATTCGAATATAGTAGGCCATGATACCCATATTAGCAGCGGGTCTCCGTGGGACAATAGCTGGAGGTAGGAATTGAAGGACATGTCCTACACCAAGAGTCTCGGTCACACATGGGATTCGGAGTCTGAAATTACGCTCATTGCACGGCAACTGGATCTTGATATCGGCTTCACGGAGGAGCGTCAACTGGTCCACACCACTGCCCGTCCACGCATCCAGAATATAGCAAGCCCACATGAGTCTTCGACGACTCTCCTTCTCGACTGCCGGTGGAGAGGACTCATTTGCTTCTGCACAGAGGATATCCGGAGAGAACTCGACGTTGAGTTGCAATGCATGTGCCATTCTTACAGCTAGGCCACTCAACATGAGAGCTTGAGTGTACTCGCCTAATCTGAAGTGGAAATCATAAAGCAATATGCATGTCTAGAAAAAAACTGTCAGCTATTTATTTACTTGAGCACTGAGTTAGCTTACCATGAGTCTTTGAACTGAGATCTTTCCAAAATTGGTGAGAACCAGCAATTCGGCCTTTTGCGCCCAGCTATTTCCCGCAGCCCTTATCAAACCTGCCTTGGCATCTTGATCCTCTACATTGACGGATAGAGCATAGAATCTATATCATCAGCTTCGGATTCTCACTCATCGATGGTGAGACAACTTACTTGGCACCTTGGGCGCAGATGATGTGTAGCAATGCTCTTTCGTCTTCTGACTCAAAGCCCTTATCTAGATGTCGAGTAAAGGACGGTCTATGAACAAAAGCGAAGCATCGGAGAGGGTGAATGTTTGCAAAGTAGTGATCTACCACAGTACGAATATTGTTTGAAGATGGGAGGTCTGAAGACACAAGCCTACGAACATGGTTAGTGATGGCTCGGGTTTTTCGGTTTAGACATGGAACTCACCATGAATGAATGGACAATTCAGTATCATCGGCGAAATCTATGGGCGGGTCTATAGCACTGGTGTCTCGGGTGCTCGACCGATGGGATGCTGCGATATCAGTTTCCTGTGACTGGATGAGACTGGGTGACATGAAGCTATCTCCAGTGACCGAAGATGCGTCCAAAGAAGACTCTAATTCTTCCTCATTTGAACCTGAAGTCGGAGCCTTGCTGAGATTTCGCGCCCAGCGAGGAGCCGAGCCTCCGTCGTATTGGCATTCTAAATTACGGGCGCAGCATCGCGAACATCTCGGGCGGTCGCCATCGCATTTTGTTTTTGAGACACGACAACTCGTACATGATCGGTAAGTTCGGATCTTTCTCAGAGACACAGGCACTGATCCACGCCGACTGCCAGATTTTGAGCCGTCGTCATCAACACACTCGAGTTGAAGACGTTCGCAATTGCGACAGCCGTTGGGTCGGCCATCGCATTTGACCTATGTATGTGAGTAACTTGACTAAATAAAACAAAATACGTCACTTACCTTTCTTGCCCGACAAACTCGACAGCCCATGATAATGTTGCGGTTGATGTTGACGCTGGAAAGACTTTCACTATCGGCAAGACTACGAGAGGCCTTTTGTCCACGATTGGAGTGAAGATCTTCCATGATTACGATTACTACACCTTATTTTACGCAAGATACAGGTGCTGTAGACAGGCTAGGTATGGATTCATATGCCCTGGTTCACTGCGAACGAGCTGACGATGGCGTGCGAGGGTCTTCTGCAATGGCTGGCAAGTTGTAGCGTCCATAGCGGCAGGTTCAGTGGATTCGCGCCACATCAAGTCTTCGGGGAGATTAATTTAGGCAACTGGACAGAGTCTAGACCGCCGTCAAGCCACCCTCCATCAAGCGCTATGTGGGTTAAAAACCCTTGTAACCGCTGTCAGCCATATCACGACATTGCTGTTGAAATGACGATAATTGAGAACATCCCACGCCCATGCACGGGGACTTCGGATGTCGGAAACTCTTGGCTACCTAAACAGGGCAGCTACTGTACCGTTGTAGCATAATGCCTTGAAACGTCCAGACTCTGGATGATCCTAAACCCCCACTCAGTTTACTTCCCGAAAACTATCTGCAGCTTCTTGTCATACTTGAGATCCTATACGTTACCAAGATAGAGCTTTATTAGCTCGGTGATTAAGCTGTCTCAAACATTAAGCCCAAGTCGTAGCTCCTCATTCTCGCTCCATGACGACCATCCCCCAAATCACAGTCAAACTACCTAGGTTCTAGTACTACATAGAAATTGACCTATGGCAAATATCACTTGAGAGAACAGCATCATCTCACCACTTGGAATTGTGTAGAGGCGGCAAAAACAAAGGTTTATATTTACTTGGGCTGCGGTTATATTGCCTGGTACGGGTGGGAATACAGGATGTCAATCACGTTGCGATACCTGATAGGACTTCACTTCTATACAGTTTAACAAGAGGACCCAAATACATCATCTACTGGCTCCATAGTTGATCCTACATTGCATGCCCTGACCCCAGAATTAGAGGTTGGTAAGGAATACTACGTGGGGAGAATCCGTTATTATACAGGGTAAGTGGCTCGCATTAAGATAGAGCTTGTAACATCCATGATAACCAATACTATCTTCACGCTTTGAGAACTGTTGCTGATAGATATATCCAATGGTGTTATTTAAATCATTTCTGCAGTCCTTCCCAAAGCTTTGTGTTATCTACTTCCCTCTCTGTACTCAATACCACCTGTAGATCTGTTGACTGTTTGAACACCGAGATGTTTACAGCCATTCCTCTCTCATTCCCGTACAGATTAAATAAAAGGAATATGTTTGTGAAGTCACTAAGCATATAGCGGGCATATCTCAACTGTCTTCTTTGTTTCGAGTCCGATGACTCTTATCTCTATCTTCCCCTTATGACTCAATGCGGTCCAATTGCAACCCCTCCATCCTCCCCCACCAACGACTCTCGATGATAACTTTCCACCGCCAAAAATTACCCCACTACCGGCTTCAATCACCAAACAAAGCTAAGAACATTCCCGATATCGACGAAATCGCACACGTAGACATCGAACCGAACCGAACATCGACGATACACCGATTGCTACCATGTCCGACCCCGTCGCTGAGGTCACCGAGGGCACTGTCAAGCTCGTGCTTGACGACGTGACGGGCGAGCAGGTCACGCGCAATGAGCTGAAGAAGCGTACCCAGAAGCGAGCCAAGAAGGCCGCTGCCCAGGCCTCGCGAGAGGAAAAGGCAAAGAACCAGGAGGCGAACCCTAAGCCTGCTGCGCCTAAGCCCAAGGCTCAGGAGCCTACCCAGCTCGACCCCGATGCCATGTTCAAGCAGGGCTTCCTCGCCGACGTTTACAAGGAGCGACCTGTAAAGCCTGTCGTTACCCGATTCCCCCCTGAGCCCAACGGCTACCTTCACTTGGGTCACGCCAAGGCTATTGCCATTGACTTTGGCTTTGCCCGTTACCACGGTGGCAAGACTGTAAGCTTTGTTGCGCCAACTGGAATTTGATGATCATGCTAATATGTGATAGATCCTTCGGTACGACCTTTTTATCGAGCGCTAAGTCCACGGCTAATGAATTCAAAGATTTGACGACACGAACCCCGACGAAGAGGAGGAAATCTACTTCGAATGGATCCTGAAGATCATTAGGTGGCTTGGTACGAACCTCGACGCCTGCTGTATCAACCCGACCTTAGCTAATCTTGATCACCTGCAGGATTCGAGCCCAGCGCCATCACACACTCCAGTGACAACTTCCAGAAGCTCTTCGATCTCGCCAAGGAACTCATCAAGAAGGAGAAGGCATATGTCTGCCACTGTAACGAGGCCGAGATCAAACTTCAGCGTGGTGGAAAGGAAGGAAAGGAGGGACCCCGCTACCGATGCGAGCACGCCGAGCAGGATGTCGAGACAAATCTTAAGAAGTTCCAGGATATGCACGATGGAAAATATGCGCCCCAGACTGCTTTCCTTCGCATGAAGCAGGACATCACAAACGGCAACCCTCAGATGTGGGATCTCGCGGCTTACCGGATACCCAAGAACCAGAAGGTCCACCACCGAGCTCCCGAGTGGAAGATTTTCCCTACTTACGACTTCACACACTGTCTTTGCGATAGTTTCGAGGGTATCACACACAGTTTGTGTACTACCGAGTTCATTCTGTCTCGTGAAAGCTACGAGTGGCTGAACAAGAGCCTTGAGGTCTACGAGCCAATGCAGCGAGAGTTCGGTGAGCATAGATATGAATTTGTGTGAATGCGGGCTTCTAACAACTATCAGGTCGACTGAATGTCAGTGGAACTATCATGAGCAAGCGAGCTCTGAAGAAGCTTGTCGAAGGTGGATACGTTCGAGCTTGGGATGACCCTCGTCTGTACACGCTGATTGCCATTAAGCGTCGTGGTATCCCCCCTGGCGCTCTTTTGGCTTTCATCAACGAGCTTGGTGTCACTACGGCCAAGACAATTATCCAGATTGCGCGATTCGAGCAGACTGTCCGCCGCTACCTTGAGAACACCGTGCCACGACTCATGCTTGTCCTGGACCCCGTTCCTGTTACTATTGAGGACCACGAGGGAACCGAGGAGCTCGAGGTTCCTTACTCTCCCAAGGACCCCAAGTTCGGTACTCATAAGGTCCGATTTACCAAGACTGTCTATATCGACCGATCCGATTTCCGAGAGGAGGACATCAAGGGTTACTTCCGACTTGCCCCTGGCAAGACTGTTGGTCTTCTTAACGCTCCCCACCCCATCAAAGCCACCTCATTCGAGAAGGACGAGTCAGGCAAGGTCACTAGCATCAAGGCCGTTTTCGACAAGGAGAGCAAGCCAAAGACCTACATCCAGTGGGTGCCTGAAGGCTCCATCAAGTTGGAGGCCCGTGTACACAGCCCCTTGTTCAAGTCTGACGACCCTACCGCTGTTGAGGGTGGTTTCTTGAACGACATCAACCCCAACAGTGAAGTTGTCTATCCCGAGGCTCTTGTTGAAGAGGGCTTCAAGGAGGTTCGCCAGCGCGCTCCCTGGCCTGTTACGGCTGGCGAGACCAACGAGGCTAGCGGCCCCGAGAGTGTTCGATTCCAGGCTATGCGTGTTGCCTACTTCGTAAGTATATGCTACCCAATTCTTTTGGTATTGAAACTAATCATCATATAGGCTATGGACTCGGATAGCACAGATGACAAGATCGTGCTTAACCGCATTGTATCCCTGAAGGAGGATCGCGAAAAGAACTAAGCAAAAGTGTATAAATTAAGATAGGACGAAAAGAAGTAAAAAAGAAAAAGAAATAATAATGAATTGGTCTGATAACTCTTGATGTTGCCAGTCACTACATGGTAGCCAACGCCCCTATTGCCACGTATCGAGCTTTATACTGTCTGGGCAGACGTATCGCATCAGGATGCTTCAAGAGCCCCGAGCCCGTCAGGGGTAACTAGAATCGATCGGCCTGCTCATTGATTAAGGAAGTTCTTATAGATTTGATTTGTAATGCTGATCTGGTTCGCGATTATGGGTATGGCCAGTTCCAAGAGAGCCATGTCGCCCAAGACACATTGAACGTTCAAGTTTGTATCTAAATGGACATCATGTAACACTCTGAATCCATTCTGGAGGTTTCCGACTATGTCTACATGAACAACCAGAACACGTATATTAAGATCGCTATTTGCCGCATTAAGTCGCTTGAGGATTCCTTCTGGGTCACTTTCTTACCTAGTGATCGCCGACCCTCAAGGAGTGGACAAATTGTGGGAGAGGTCGAGCTTCTCTGTCGGACTAAAGAACGTCGATTGAAGAGCTGACGAGGCTCTCTAGTAACCTGTACGACAGTCTGCAAGTGTTGCTCGATAGCGAGGTTCTGTGGATTTCTCTCGTCTCTGACAAGAGGTAAAGACTCTTTGATACTGCTTAGATGGGTTAAAGCGTCAGAGATCATTAATGAGTTGAACAGTGGCCCAGGAAGCCTCGACCAAGTGATGTATTTCGGTTTTGACCACCGACAATTGGGCCAATAATGCCACAGCTGTCTTACGTGGGTTCATATACATGCTCGCGAAACCTGGGAGTCACTTCTGAAGCACGTATAGCGAGAATACGATAATGCTGCCAAACAGCTTCTTGAGAACTTCAATGCCTTCACTGTCCCGTCCCGAATCATGAACGCCATCTCGGCAGATTCTGGGCTGAAAGAAGCTGTGTTGATTATCGATGCTTTAGACGAATACATACTGCTTACTATCCAGGCGCAAATCTAGCTGCAACAAAATCTTCCTTTGGGTAGCGCTGATCTGTCAGCCTCTTGGAGCCCCAGGATTCCATAACTGATAGACCGAGGCAGACTCTAGCAGGTCTACACAGTATATACCAGCGAATGGTATATCACACCCTTGAGGCATGTTGGAAGACTACAAGCAAACACCGAAATCTATTTCCACTGTATGCCGACTCGTGACGCTGATGAGCTGCTATCTGTTTGGGAATCGTCGAAAGAAACTCCTTCTGGTAGAGACACATTGTAGAAGATTATCAATGGAGCAGGACCGTTCCTCAGGTATTCTAAGGAATGAGATAGTCTACTCGATACATCA